TTCTTACTGGTATCTCTCAAAGAGCAAAAGGTATTTTTTTTTTCACGAGTCTCATTTATCAAATATTTTCTTTTATAGTTTGTGTCCTATCTAAGATATCTCTGCCAAATCTGAGATCATGACAATTTTCTCCTATCCTTTCTTTTAGAGGTTTTATAATTTTACCTCTAACAGTTAGGTCTATGATCCATTTTGAGTTCATTTTGTATATGGTGGAGGAAAGGATAAACGTTCATATTTTTCCATATAGATATCCAATATCTCCAGCACCATTTGTTGAAAGACTTTATTTTTGAAGAACTTTGTCACCTGTATTAGTTTGCTAGGGCTTCTGTAACAAATTACCACAAACTGGGGGACTAAAAACAGCAGAAATGTATTCTCTCACAGTTACAGAGGCTAGAAGTCTAAAATCAAGGTGTTGGAAAGGCCATGCTCTCTCTGAAGGCTCTGGAGAGGAATCCTTCCTTGCCTCTTCCTAGCTTCTGGTGGCTTCCAGCAGCCCGGGGCGTTCCTTGGCTTATAGCTGTATCACCCCAATCTGTCTCCATTGTCACATGGCATCTCCTGTGTGTCTGTGTGTCCAAATTTCCCTCTTCTTACAAGAATTGGATTTTGGGCCCGCTCTAATCCAGTATGGTCTCATCTTTAACTAATGACATCTGCAAATAGCCTATTTCCAAATAAAGTCACATTCTGAGGTTCTGGGTGGACATAAATTTGGGGGGAACTCTATTCAACCCATTACCACACCTTTGTAAAAAAACAGTTGACAATATATCAGGATCTATTTCTGAACACTTTATTGTTTTCCATTGATCTATATCTTTATCTTATAGCCAATACTACACTGTCTTGATTACTGTAGCTCTACAGTGGGTTTTAAGTTCTTCAACTTTATTCTCTTTCAAAATAATTTTGGCTATTCTAAGTCCTTTACAATTCCATGTAAATTATCAAAATAGTGTATATTTCTACAATTTCTACAAAAAATTACTGCTAGGATTTTGATTGGGATTGCTTTGAATCTATTGATCAATTTGACTTCTTAATAATATAGAGTCTTCTGGTTCATTTAATTTGTCTTCCTTTCAGTAATGTTATAAAACTATAAGTGTACAGCTTTTGCACATTTTGTTAAATTTACCCTAAAGTGTTTCATGTTTTTGATGTTGTAAATATTTATTTTTTGTGCGTGAGGAAGATTAACCCTGAGCTAACATCGGTGACCACCTTCCTCTACTTTATATGGGACGCCGCTACAGCATGGCTTGATAAGCAGTGCATCGGTCCGCGCCCAGGACCCGAACCTGAGAACCCTGGGCTGCTGAAGCAGAGCGCATGAACTTAGCCGCTGCACCACCAGGCTGGCTCCATGTTGCAAATTTTTTTAAATTTCAATTTCCAATTGTTCACTGCTAGCATAGAGAAATACTATTAATTTTTGTATATTGACCTTGCCAAACACACTTATTAACTATAGCAGCTTTTTTTGTTTGTTTGTTTAGAGTTTTTTTACATAGAGAATCATGTTATCTGCAAATAGTTTTACTTCTTCCTTTTCAATCTCCATATGATTTATTTCCTATTAATTGCCTTTTTGTCCTGGCCAGGACCTGAAGTAAATATTGTATAGAAATGATGAAATTGGACCTTCTTGCCTTGTTCCCAATCTTAAGGGGAACACATTCAGTGTTTCACCATGAAATGTGATGTTACCTATGTATTTTAGGGAAGTTCTATTTCTAGGAAGCTCCCCCCTATTGTAAGTTTTCTGAGAGTTTTTATCATGATTGGGTGTCGAATTTTGTCAAATACTTTCTCTGCATGTGATCATATATTTTCTCCCTCCTGTATTCTGTTCATATGACGAATTACATTGATATTCAAATGTTAAACCAATCTTACATTCCCAGGAAAAGTCCACTTGATAGTGATTTTTAAAAAAAATATATTATTGGATTATATTTGATAAAATTTTGTTAATAATTTTGTTAATAATTTTTGTGCCTATGTTTGTGAAGGATATTGGTCTGTAGTGTTTTTGTAATATCTTTGGCTGGTTTTGGTATAATACTGGCCTCAAAAAATGTGTGTTTCTTCTTCTATCATCTGCAAGATTTTTTTTTTTTTTTGAAGAATTCTCATTATTTCTTTCCTTGGTAGAATTCACAGCAAACACATCTGGGCCTAGAGTTTTCTTTGTGAGAAGGTTTTTAAATATAAATTCAATTTCTTTAATAGATATAGGATTACTTGAGTTATCTATTTCTTTTTATGTGAACTTCAGTAGCTTATGTCCATTTTATCTACATTGTCAAATTTATTGGCATTAAGTTGTTCATAATATTCCATTATTATATGTATGTATGTATGTATGTATGTATATATATATATATTTTTTTTTTTGGTGAGGAAAATTAACCCTGAGCTAACATTTGTTGCCAATCCTCCTCTTTTTGCTGAGGAAGATTGGCCCTGGGCTAACATTTGTGCCCATCTTCCTCTACTTTATATGGGACGCCACCACAGTATGGCTTGACAAGCAGTGTATCAGTGCACTCCCAGGATCCAAACCTGCGAACCCCTGGCCACTGCAGCAGAGTGTGCACACTTAACCGCTATGCCACCAGCCTGGCCCCTTCTTATTATTTTTTTTAAGTCTATAAGATCTACAGTAATGTCTCTCTTTCATTTCTCATCTTGGTACTTTGTATCTTTTTTTCCTTGATCAGTTTGGCTAGAGGTTTATCAAATTTATTGATCTTTTCAAAGAACTAGCTTTTGGTTTCATTGTTTTTTCCTGTTTTTTTTTTTTTACATTAATTACTGCACATCTTTCTTATTTCTTCCTCTGCTTGCTTTGTGTTTAATTTGCTCTTCATTTTGTAAATTCTTAGGTGGAAGCCTAGAAGGTAATTTGAGATTGTTCTTCTCTAACAAAATCATTTAATGCTATAAAATTTCCTCTAAGCCCTGCTTTAGCTGCATCCCTAACTTTTTGATAGATGTTTTGATTTTCATTCAGTTCAAAATATTTACTAATTTCCCTTGTGGTTTATTTCTTGATCTATGTGTTATTTATAATTTTATTTATTTATTTATTTTTTTTCCCCAAAGCCCCAGTAGATAGTTGTATGTCATAGTTGCACATCCTTCTAGTTGCTGTATGTGGGACGTGGCCTCAGCATGGCCAGAGAAGCGGTGCGTAGGTGCGCACCCGGGATCCGAACCCGGGCCGCCAGCAGCGGAGTGCGCACACTTAACCACCAAGCCACGGGGCCAGCCCTATGTGTTATTTAGAAGTCTGTTATTTTCTAAATGTTTGTGGATTTTCATAATATCTTTCCGTCCCTTTTCTAGTTTAATTCCATTGTGGTCAGAGAACATACTTTGTATGATTTCAGTTATCTTACACATTGCTTTAGACTAGTTTTACGATTTGGAATATGGTCTATTGTAATGAAAGTTCCATGTTCATTTGAAAAGAATGTGTACTGCTGTGGTTAGGGGGCAGCTGAAGTGTTCTATAATATAATTGGCAATTAGGTTGATAGCGTTGCTCTGGTTTTTTATATTATTACTGATTTTTGGTTATTTGTTCTATCCATTACTCAGAGAGGAGTGATGAAATCACCAATCACAACTGTAGATTTTTCTATTTCTCCTTCAATTTCTGCTTCATGTACTTTGAAGTTCTTGCTATTATATGCATACCCATTTAGGATGGTATGTCTTCTTAATGAATTGATTACTTTCTTATTATGAAATATTCCTTGTTCTGAAGTTTCCTTTGTGTGATGTAAACATAGCCTCTGTAGTTTTCTTTTTCTTAGTGTTTACATGGCAGGTATCTATTTATTTATATTTAAATTGGGTTTCTGTAGACAGATAAAAGTTGGATCCTGCTTTTCCAATCAAGTCTGATACTCTCTGATGTTTAATTGGAATGTTTATTTACATTTGATATAATAAGCAATATGGCGGCATAAAATCTACCATCTTGCTATTTGTATTCTACTTATCTCCTCTTTGTTTTTATCCCCCTCTTTTCCTGCCATATTTTGGATAGTTTCATAATCCCATTTCCTCACAATTGACTTAGTTATACTCTGTTTGATAATTTTTTTATTGATTGCTCTAGGGCAGAGGTTCTGAAAGTGCATTCTAAGGTCCAGGAGATCCTTTCAGTGAGTTTGTGAGTCAAAAATATTGAGGGAGGGTATTTTTCGGGGTGGTTTAATAAAGGCTATAATCCTTGGGCTGAGTTTTTAAAGACAAGTAGGCAGACAAGAAGAACAGAGAGAAAATGTTGGGGGGAAATGAATAGAGCCTCACTGACCTGTGGGATAATCTCAAGCATACATGTATTGGAGTCACAGAAGGAATAAGGGGGGGACAAAAAAATTCTTGAAGAAATGACAGTTGAAATTTTTCCAAATTTGATGGAAACAATAAACACACAGATCCCAGGAGCCTAATGGGCTCTGTCCAGATTGAAATGACCACTTCTCCTTTGTACCCCATTGTATCTCATACACATTCTTATCACAGAACATGTAACATTTGACGGCACTTATTTGCCTGTCTCCCCATACCAGATTGTGAGCAACTTTAAGGTGGAATAGTGGCTGGCACATGATAAATACCCAATAAAACAAAAGTTCTCAAAAGCTGAGTGCCTCACAAGTTTTGCTTATTTTGCTTATCTCAGCAAGACAAAATATAATTGACTTGACTGACACTCCTTTTTCAAAATATGTGAGTACATTGGGAAATCAACTGATTTGAGTGTCTCAAAAATTATTTAGGCAACAGCTGCACTTTTGGACCTCATGTTTAGCATGAAAAAGGAATAAATTTACAATCAGACTTTAATATGGAAGCATATATTGTAGCATGATTGCATAAAAAAATTACTGTACTGTTATACTGTTAACACTTCATAAAAAAGAAAAGGAAAAAAAATTGCTTTGAAGTTGTGTTTTAAAGCAATTTACCTGGCCTGCAAATTTACTGCTAGGATCAGCTGAAATAAACACACCATCTTTATCCTTTTGAAATCCATTGTGAGACCAATAGGCCAGGTCAAAAGTAAATGTCTTCATATGTTCTGGATTCTTAGGGTCTTGTATAGTGGTGGTGGTCCTGGAATGCATGGAAATCACACATTTGCTCCCAGAATTCTTCTCTCTCTATTGTCAAATCACAAATTCAGAGTCAATCATTATAGTTTTTCTTTGTCATCCAATGGTTTTTCAAGTCTTTAAACCTTGTAAGAAATTAAGCCAGGAACCTACCATTCATTTCGTTCTCTAATTATGTTATGCTTAGCAGCTGTTATGACAACAGTTGCTCTTATACCCCCTCAGAATTTTTGAAAGGCTTGTCTCTAGTTGTATTAACTTTCTGAGAATAGCATATCTCACACCCAACTATACTAATAGCAACAACTACAGCAGCAGAGGCAGAGACATCCACTTCCAGCATGACAACATAAGGAGCTCCACTGTCCCACTCCCTGGAGAAACAGGTGAGAATTATTAATGAAAAAATGAAAATGAAGAAACAACCATTTAAAGCCTCTGGAAATGGTCCTAAGGGGAAATAGCCAATGAAGAAACATCTATTCAAGAAAATCTATCAAAATTTGGTAAGGAAGGAGAGTCTGTGGTATTCAAAGTGTGGGGGATCAGAATGGCCACCCCAAAGTATGTCTCTTTGCCTTGCTTTGATTATTTTTCAAGAACAAGAGACTCTGCAAGAAACTTTGGCCTTCCCCCAAGTGCCTAAAAGAATTTAAGATAGAAGGCCCGTCCCCAGGACGGCCATCACCATAGATAACTCTAGGTATCGATAGACTGGGAGGGTCCTTGCTAAGCCTGATCTTATCAAAGTTCTGTTTACCAAACATTCGCTTTTCCACCTCCATGTGAATTGCCTTCCTCCCCTTTGAAGTCCCAACCACCACCCCCAACATCCTCCTTTGTCTTTAGCTGAAAATGCTATTTAAGATGACACCTCAGCCAAAATGCTGAGTTAGTTTTTCTGGGTCTCTTCATGTATACATGTTATAAAGCTTTCATTGATTTTCTCCTGTTATTCTGTCTCATGTCAATTTAATAATTCATAGCCCAGCCAGAAGGACCTAGACTGGGTAAAGGAAATCTCTTCCTCTCCTACAGAAGCAAGACCATTCCCTCCCTCTCTCCTGCTGGCTCAGCAAGGTGGAGACTACTCGAGCCAAGAACACAGGGCTCCCGGTCTTCCCAGACCCCAGTCCGAGGGCTTTCTTCCTGGGAGAAGCAAGGTATCAGCCTTTCTCATCTTGCCCCCATCTACCTGTTATTGATGCTAAGTCCTGGGAGAGTGTGGGTGAGAGGTGGGGATTCCTTCTACCCAGTTCTGACTCATGGAACGGAGGCTCGCTTTGGTTGCAGTATGCTGAGAATACTGGGGTGTTGATCACCTCAGTACTGAGGTGGTGGTTCCATGCCAGGAGATTCAAGCTGAGAGGATCTCAGGCAGCTGTTCCACATTCACCAAATGCTGGCTTTTTAGAGCAGGGATGTCACTCAGAGAGCAGCTTGCCATTGTCCCCACCCCCAAATCCAGAGCCCTGGTTTAGAGATCTCGCCTGAAGAGATAGCACCTAATCTCTTCCCAAAGGAACCAACTTCCTTTGCCCCCTTAGAGAAGTTCAATCCTAAGGGCACTCTCAAGAACAGAACAGAAGAGGCTGTGACAAAAGGCAATCGGGAGATTCAAGATACAGGTTAAGTTATAGGCCCTCTAGTTTGCAAGGGGGTGAGTGGGGAATAAGATAGCCAGGAGGAACCCACTCGGGGTGAGAAAAAATATCAAACACTGACCTCAGAAACCATTCCATTCAAAGGAACCAGAATTTGATTGAATTAGTTTGTAGAGCAATTTATGCCCCAGGACATTGTTGAAAACAGCAGAGCAATCAGCCAGCAATCGGTGGAGTTTAACAGCTTGGTGTGGTCAAGAGAGGAAGGGAGCCCTACCCAAACCACTGTTATCCCAGGCTGTCCAGGGCATAGCCAAAGCTGCACGACAGCAAAGGTGGGGGTGGGGCAGGGGATAGACGTCACTAAAATAATCCAGCCAGTCACTAAACAAATAAATTAGCAAATAACAATAATAAACTACAGAGGCGTGGGAGGACCAGTACCCAGATTTGCTACATTATCTAAAATGTCCAATTTCCAATAAAAAATTATGAGGCATGCAAAGAAACAGGAAAGTAAGACCCACACACTGGAAAAAAAGCAGGCAACAGAAACTGTCCATGAGAGTGACCAGATGCTGCAAAAAGACTTTAAAGGAACCATTATAAACATATTCACAGAATTAAAGGAAACTATGGTTAAAGAAGGAAAGATTATAAAGGAATACTACCAACAACTGAGTACCACCAAATTAGATGATTTAAATGAAATGGAAAGATTCTTAGAAAGACACAAACGACTCTGATTCAAGAAGAAATAGACAATCTGAATAGACTGATAACAAGAGATTGAAGTAGTAATAATAAAACAAAAAAAACTACTCACAAAGAAAAGCCTGGATGGCTTGATTGCTGAATTCTTCCAAACACCTATAGAATTAATACCAATTCTTCATAAATTCTTCCAAAAAATAGAAGTAACACTCCCCAACTTATATTCATGAAGCCAGTATTACCCTGATACCAAATCCACATGCAGAGAGCACACAAAATGGAAGAACTTATGCTAAGGACTCATGAAAGGTACAAGAAAAAGGAGTTATGAGTGTAACGACAATGCCTTAAAGGAACACCCACAGACACACCCAGAGATAACCAGACAGGACAACTGAGGACCTGGATAAGATGTGGAAGCAGCATATAAGGGAGAGAGGAAGAAACACTGATGCCAGTGATCCATCCCAGAGAGAGGAGGACACGCTGCTGGTTGCCTTGCTGATTCCTGTGCCTCTCGCTCGCTCCCTTTGCCTGGACTGATTTCCTGTTCCAGACTCGCTGGACCGTGCCAAGGACTTCGTGCACTTTGGTTCGTAACCCTTTACACATTGAATGCTGACTTTGGTGTTAACATGACTTTATGATACTCATGATTTAATGTGTGACATTTGACTGAGTCTCTGTAAAGGAACGCCAGGCTGTTACCGCTCTTCCCGGGACCTCAGCCGCTAGAGGCGAAATCCTTTGAATTTACTCTAATAAATTCGAGCATTGTGGAAAGACACAAAAGTGAGCGGACAATCCATCAGTAACCACTCATTACAAGAGACAAACATCACAAGAAAATAAAACTACAGACCAATATCTTTTATGACTATAGATGGAAGAATCCTCAACAAATTATTAGCAAACTGAACCCAGCAACATATATATATATATAAAAAGTTATGCACCATGACCAAATGGGATTTATCCTAGGGATGCAAGGTTGATTCAAGATCCCAAAACGATTGTATTAATCACGTTTTTTTGTTTTCTATATTATATGATGCTTTGACATTCTGGGGCCAGGAGAGCCTGCCCCTCCCAAGGCTAATGAATTCCTAGAGATGGTAAACAACCTGCCTTTCATGCAAACCAACCAATCCAAAGTCCATTTCCCAAACACCTCCTTTATTTAACTCACACACCAAGCCAATATTTTCCCTGCCCTACATTACCCCAGGGCCAAGTACCTGACAATGAGAGACTACCCCTACAGCCTAGAGCCCACTGCAATTACTCAAACTATCCAATCCTAAGATTGCTCAAACTCGCCTCCCATGCCTTGCCCATCCCTTCCTGCAGAAACTACAATCCGGCCGTGGGATATGCATCCTTTGCTCCTTCTGCCTTCTGACCGACACTTATATTTCCCCATGTGGCTCCCTTCTCTTGGGAATTTTAAGGCAGTTGTCTCTGTATCTGTCACCTTACTATATCTGATGAAAACAAATCTTGGGTACACTTTAAAATAATGATTTAACGTAACACATCAGATCAATAGAATAAAAAAAGTCACACATCATCTTAATAGATGCAGAAAATGCATTTGACAAAATCCAACACCCTTTCATGATAAAAACACACAACAAATAGGAACAGAATGGAACTTCAATAAAGGGCATCTATGAAAAATCCATGAGTAATAGTCATACTTACTAGTCAAGACTGAATGCTACCCGCTAAGATCAGGAAAAAGACAAGAATTTTTACTCTCGACACTTCTATTCAATATTATATTGGAGGTTCTAGCCAGAGCAATTAGGCAGGAAAAAGAAATGAAGGTCATCCAGATAGGAAAAGAAGTAAAATGATCTCTATTTGCAGATGACATGATCTTGTATACAGAAAATCCTAAGAACTCCCCCCAAAAACCATTAAAACTAATAAATAAGTTCAGTAAGGTTGCAAGATACAAGATGAACACACAGAAATCAACTGTATTTCTATACACTTTAAATGAACAATCTGAAAATGAAATTTAGAAAACAATTCCATTTCTAATAGCACCAAAAAGAAAAAAATACTTTAGGAATAAACTTAAAAAAAAGAAGCGAAAAACATATACTCGGAATACTACGAAACATTGTTGAAAGAAACTAAAGATCTAAAAATTGGAAAAACATCCCATGTTCATAGATTAGAAGACTTAGCATTGTTAGGATGGTAATACTCCCCAAACTGATATACAGATTCAATGCGATCTCTATCAGAATCCCACCTGACTTCTTTGTAGAAACTGACAAGCTGATTATAAAATTCATAGGGAATTGAAAGTCACCCAGAATAGACAAAACAATCTTGAAAAAAAGAAAAAAGTAGAATTCATACTTCTCAATTTCACAACTTAGGACAAACCAACAGTGATTAAGGCAGTGTGGTACTGACACAATGATAGACATACAGATTAATGTAATGGAATTGAGAGTCCAGAAATAAACTAAACCTCTATGGTCAACTGATTTCAATACAGCTGCCAAAATGGGGAAATAACAGCCTGTGCGAAAAATGATGCTGGGAAAACTCGACAGCCACGTGCAAAAGAATGAACTTGGATCCTTACCTCATATCATATACAAAAATTAACTCAAAACAGACCAAAGGCCTAAATGTAAGAGCTAAAACTATGAAAGAAAACATAAGAGTAAATCTTCACGACCTTGGACTGGACAAAAGACT